TCCTCCTCCTCCTCCTCCTCCTCCTCCTCCTCTTCCTCTTCGCTATCCGAGTTGCTTCCGTCGCCTCTAGATTCTGCGGTCTGTGCTCGAGCACCCAGCTCCACCATGATCACATCGGCCCTACGACGGAGAATATCAGCACTACCTTGGGAACCGCCTTCTTCGCGGAGTGCGGCTAACTCGCCTAAAGCAACGGCATGATCGCTGTTCAAGGGTTCCGGCAGAGCTTCGTGTATGCGCAATATGCGCTCGTACATTTGGATCGCGACATCCACTTTTCCCTGGAGTCGACACACTCGGGCAAGATGCGCCAGTGTTCTCGCCGTTACGATGTCCGTCTGCAAAAGGATCACAGCCGCGGAACAGGGGTTAGTTATTCAAGGTGATGCCTTGATGCAAGGAGACGAGAATGGGGTGTGAGCAACCTCTGGGGCCTGTACGTGCATAAATCTTGCACAGCAGCCTAGATCTAACAATTGTAGACTAGTCTTACCTCTCCAAACGCCGTAAGGCACGCAGATACCGCCTTGGTAAATTCTTTCTCTGCGATCTCGGTGTTTCCTTGCTTCAGGACACCCAGGGCATTGGCGAGCACAGGGTTGATGACCTCCATGGGCGTTCTATCTGCGGCACAAGCTCGAGTTCAAACAACAAATTGAATTGCATGTCACGACATGAAAGGGATGGCACCAGCAGGATATGATAGGGGCCCCGCTGATACAGAAATGACCTATATGTCAAAAACAACACAGTACTTGCCGTGAGCGCCCTCACGCGCCGCCGACTGCGGCGGAACAAACACACCACAGCCGAGAGCACGTGCGAAAGAGAGCTAGAGGGTGCAAACACAGGTAGCTGAGCAAAGGAGCGGGCGTGAATTCTGGCCTCAACATGACTTCAACAAAGTTCCTGGAAGACATGCCAGGGATTGTTTGCGACAACGGCACCGGGTTCGTGAAGGTGACCAAAACACAGCATTACTTTCCCCACACACCGCCAACAGGTGTGCCTGTTTTCTTTTGGGACGGGAATGTTCACTAGAGACAATGGAGGGGGTTGGCTGAAACAACCAGGCTGAGTTGGCTGAAATTAGGTTGTGTTGTCCATGAAGCAGGGGTTGCCGCACCCCTCGGTAACCTTTACGTACTGCAACCTGTAAACATGCTGGGTGCTTCTATGCGTCTACATAATTATTTGCATAATTACAAGTACTTACCAGAAAAAGCATTGCGCAGCTCTGAACGCCCAGCAGCCTGTTGACAATACAAATTGTGCTATGCATTGATTCTTCGGTTCTCTCGCATGTTCAGCTGAGTTGTGGTTGCCGTGCTTTCTCTTCCCAAAATGTTTGGATGCGCGTCACAAAGGTTGGATATGCCGGAGAAAACTTTCCGCGATCCATCTTCCCGTCGCTCGTGGGGAGACCGATTTTGCGTGCCGAAGAAGCTTTCCAAGAGGGCGTAGAGCTGAAGGACATCATGTGTGGAGACGCTGCGGCCGCCGTTCGCGCTTCGCTGGAGACCAGCTATCCCGTAACCAACGGTATCATTCAAAACTGGGACGATATGGAGGAGCTGTGGAAGTACACTTTCGAAGAAAAACTGGCCATCAACCCGTCGGACCATAAGATTCTCCTCACGGAGCCCCCGCTGAACCCAACCAAGAACCGCGAGCAGATGGTGGAGCGCATGTTCGAGAAGTTCGGTTTCGGGGCGTGCAACGTGTCAATCCAGGCCATGCTCACACTATACGCGCAGGGCTTGCTGACGGGGGTAGTGGTGGACAGCGGCGACGGCGTCAGCCACGTCATCCCGGTGTACGACGGGTTTGTCCCGCAAAACCTGATTCGCCGGTTGGACGTCGCCGGGCGCCACCTGACCAGGTATCTCATCAAGCTGCTGCTGCTTCGTGGGTATGCCTTCAACCGCACTGCCGACTTCGAAACCATCCGCCAAATCAAGGAGAAGCTGTGCTACGTGGCGCACGACATAGGAATGGAGCGCCGCTTGGCGCAGGAGACGACCGTTCTTGAGGAATCATACACGCTGCCCGACGGGCGAGTGATCAAGCTCGGGCGCGAGAGGTTTGAAGCCCCAGAACCGCTGTTTGACCCAAGCCTCGTGGATGTGGAGGCGCCAGGTCTGGGGGACATGGTATTCGAAATGATTCAGAAGTCTCCTATGGACTGCCGGACCGACTACTATAAGCACATCGTGCTGTCTGGTGGTACGTCCATGTACCCCGGGTTTCCAACCCGGCTGGAGAAGGACATCAAAGCAAGGTACGTGAAACACCACACCGTTCACTTGGGAGATGTGCCTATTTCAGCCATCCTACACTTTGAGAGCGTAGTGATAAACGTGAAGGGGCACCACGGGATTGCATCACACTTCGTTACAATATCCATATTAGCAGCGCAGGCACCGGTGTTGACTCGTGTTCTAATCTATGCATAGGCTACACAAGTGTATTCTGTCTCCAGCCGCTCTAGTGGAACGGGACCTCCTCGACGGGTACCTCTCGGCGATACCCATCACTCTCCTCGCGGTAAACCATTTGTAACTCGATACTCTAAAGGTCCACCAGCCTTCGCATCCTCGAAAATACATGTGTCTCTTCGACGTTACTCTCTCCGACTGACGAAAGCACTTCCTTGCACGCCCTGAAGGATTTTTTCTTCCGTTCTACTTCAAACTCTCTTCGTGTTTACACCCGCGCACGTACCCGTCCGTGCCAGGTATCTCAAGGACATTCTCAAGGGCGACGCGGACCGACTGAAGAAGTTCAAGCTCAACATCGAGGACCCTCCTCGCCGGAAACACTTGGTTTTCATTGGGGGTGCGGTGCTCGGGGATGTGATGAAGAACCGACACGAGTTTTGGGCTACAAAGGAGGAGTGGGACGAGGAAGGAGCGCGGGTCCTGCAAAAGTATAGATGATGGCAATATGATGCCCTTGTTGCTGTCGCTTCGACTCGCACGTTGTTCTTGTTTTTGATTTTGGGATGGTGGCACGCTTTGGTCGTCCAATAGGAAGTCCGGTTATGGTTCATTAATTCCGATGTAGCTGCAGTTATTGTCTTTGATTTTTTTGGGAAATATGGAAGGTTTTCATTCACAAATCAACACGTGGTTCGCGACCGACTGCTGTGCTTTGTTTGCCAGCCAGCTTGCTGGCATCGGTAAGCCGTTTGTGTGACTCGCATCCACACCGCATGAAAAATTACTCCGTTGTTCCTCTGGAGGCTGCATTTCGCCTCTCCTGATCAGTTAACCTTGTCGAGAAAACGAGCAGTTGCGGCATGCCCGGCAGTAATCGTTGCAGTCTGGTCTACTTCAGACGGTCCTCGCTGTTTCACGAGCCAAACATTGGTACCGTGAAGCATTGCTTCATACATCTATGTACGAGTCAAGCGCTGCCACACAAGGGCCAAGTTGAACGACCGAACTCTTGTCAACAGATGCCCACGAAACTGACATGGTGAACAAGTCCCACATGGCTCCTGCTGGGCGTTCTATTCGTTTAGGCAATCCTCGAGGCCATAGGGCAGTCGCAGATGGTTGATGCCCCCCTCTACAGCAGCACTCGCGGTTGCGAGCGACAGGGAGGTTCTCCAGACAAACCCAGCTTGTTCATCCACCGCCCTTCGTCGTTTCTGTCGTGACGGCTTCTTCGCGTACACATGCGAAGCTAACACCTCACATTCAGGGTCTTCACAAAACACTCCCCCCCGGACATAACATGACACACAAATGAGCCGATCTCTTCGACTGCTGAGGTGCTCTTCATCATTCTCCTCGGGTCCGCCCACCCAGCATTTCGACCTACCAGCGCTCGTCTTGCACGTATCCCAGGCCAAACAAGGTGTCGTACGCCAGCTCGTTAAAGATATCCTTGGAAGCAGGTGAAGCAAAACACTCCTCCCACCCACCCGCCTTCCCCATGCGGGTCATCCTCCAGCTCTTGTCGCGGTCGGGGTACTTTTCGTCGAAAATGAGCAAACCGCGTGCCTCCTCCTTTCTACGCATGCTCTTGAAACTTGACCGGACAATCGCCCGCTGAAGAACCTTTTCGCTGTGGTCCAAACCCGCCCACTTCGAGACCTTTGCGAGCGGCAATATATCGAAGTGCACGACGGCAAGGCGGTCGCCGGTTCAGACAACACGTCGACCACGAGAAAGGTGGGAGGCCGGTTTAGCCAAAGAAAGATAATCTTGTGTTGCGCGGACCAACAACGCAACCCAAACAGTTTACGCAACGCATGCAAGGCTTAAGCGATACGAATGAAACAGCTTTTACCGATGCGTGGAAGAGTATTCTGTACAAGTGCGCTGTAGGTTCTGCCTGTCGCAACATTAAGCGTCGGCGCTGCTCTCACCTCTACCAGCGTTTCCAGCGGCGCACGATGAAGATCTTCGTATTTCACCGTGAGAACGTCGTAGGAAGAATTTCCCTTCAGGTCCAGGTAGCTGTTGACGTGCTCAGCCCAGGTGAACCCAGGATATGTGTCTGCCTGATGCGGAAATAAAGAAGGATACCAAAACAGCAGGTCTAGCTGTAAGGTTCAAGAAAAGAGGCATGGAATACGAATCCCTACCTAGGACCAACGATGCCAAGAGGTTGTTCGACGACCCTCCTCTGTCGGAAAACCACAACTGTTTCAGTGTACGACACTGCAAACAATATAATTGAAGGATATGCTCAAGTCGATCAGACAAATCCTGTTAGGTGTCATAGATTAAACACAGAGGCGACGTAAACGGGCTGCTGTGGTACATACAGCACTACCGTGCCCCGACTCTCAACTCATAGATGTAGGATGGGCGGCATGCACCTGCTTGTTGTTGGCATCAAGCTGCCTGCAAATGTCATTGTATGAAAACAGCAAAGTATAGTCAAGTTAAGACGTATGGTCACCCCGCCCTACTTTGTACCCAATCATACGATACAGCTGTAGCACAATCACGAAAGAGACTTGCTTCCTATGCATTCTACGCGGTCCATTTCCCAGGAGGTCTTCGTCCACAAAAACGGAACTTACCCACATATACAGAAGGACAAAGCATGCCTTCAAAACAGGCGTGCAAGCTTCAAATGTTTTCAGCAAGGCGCTTCAGTTATGTCGCAACTAGTCAACCCTCCACGTGCCTTCAAGAATTCCTCAAACCCCATGTCGGGAGGATCCAAGTTGTTGAGGCCCATACGGAAGTGGTAATAGCTGCACATCACGTCTCGCCCATCTCGAACGAGGTGCAAAATCCGGCGCCACTCAGGTGGGCAATTGGGGCACGCGCACTGAGTAAAAAGCATCAAGACCGAAGCAGCAGCATGAGCGAAATTCAATGGAAAAATGTTGCAACAACTTTGGCCCAAGAAGTCCTACACCACAAGCGATTTTTCTCGGCATCCCCTTCGATTCTTATAAAACTTACGCCTACAGAACGAACGGCAATTTTGTCCCACTCATCAGCATGGCGAAGAGACCAACTGCGAGACAATTTCCAACGGAAAACGAAAATGGCCAAGAGCGAAGAACAAACGGTACTGTACCTGGTGGTCGTCCATGGTACCCACAGTGTCAGCGCATTTACCGGCTACCGCTTTTGGGGCGAACGGCTGGTGGCTTTTGAAGGCGCGGAACTTGTCGTGGAGATGGTAATCGCGGCGGTTAGGGCCGTACTCCAGGTCCGGGATGGTGCGCTCTATGGAGTTGAAGTCTATCTCTCGGTGCCAGTTGGATTCGCCTGGCTGAGAGTAGAGCCACGTGTGTGCGAGAAGAAATCGCACCCAAAAGTTCCCGCTCTTGGGGTAGCTCACTATAAATATATCGCTTGGAAGCTGAGCCGGCAGAGGGTTGGGCGACGGGCGCGAAGGGGGTTCCGCTGTTGGTGTTGCCGTTGTCTCCACAAAGAATACACCGTGTAGCTTTGGTTCGCTGGTCTAACCGGCAATTCTAATGGCTTTCGCGCTGGCATGCTAACACAAGCAGAAGAGGGTCAAGCTTCAGTAAACTACCCAAACCATGAGCAAAGGGAAACACGTAGACCACACGAACGCACCGAAGCAGGAAATCATAGTGTGGGCAACCCAAAAATGTAGCTGACACATACCGGTATGCATACACGTCCAGTAACCGTATGAGTACAGAAACACACTTAAAGAACCATTCTAGCAACCCTCGTGCGCTAAGTCGGAGTAAGCTGAAGAGTGTTCACGTTGGCTTCCCGCCAGACAGCAGTAGCCCCCCCCTACACACGCACAGGTGTGCGAAGGGCAAACCGCCACATAGTTGTCAATGAGGAGGCACTTCATTCCTCGAACGCTTATGTTTAGGGGCTACGTGGATGCTATATGGGTATGACATGACGAGCGAGGCTTTTCTTGCCTCGCCCATGCCTGTCACTCGCTCATAGGTACCATGGTACAGTTGACTCTTCTGCTGTGCAAGACGCTCACGACGAGAGCCCGTGAGCGTGACAGCGAGGCACACGTGACGACACCCAAACAATATCCCCCCCAACCCCCTGTGCTGCCGATGCTTCCTTCTACTCGCCGCGAAGGGCGCATCTCGTTATTTTCGGAACACTCGAATTCATTCCCACTTCGTCTTGTCTCACGCGAAGACTGGACCTTGTCGTCCAACATCCTCCGCAGTCTTACGGTGGAGGAAGCACAAGGGATACAATCGTTTTTGTTAAGACTTGACTGACATTTCTCTACGGGTCAGCCCGTAAGTGTTGCTGGTACAAAATAATACAGGAGCACCACACAATGGTGACGAGGGCGCGGTTGCTGCCGCAGCAGGTTGTACGAAAGTTTCCCAGTCTTGGCTTACCGGAAGTTCTCGTTTGGAAATCTGTCGCTCGTCGACGAAGCGGTAGATCAGCGCCACTGCGAGGACAAATAGCCAGGTGATGAAAGGTACCCAGCCACCTTTCCTTGGTTCTTTTTCACCCGATTTAGCGTTGCTCGGTTTGCATGGCACCTTCTCAGCTTGGTGGCCATCTGCAGCGGGCCAGCGACAGACGGCAGCAGACTATTATACAGCAGTATAAACACTGTTGTAACTCTGTAGACAGACGGAAACAAGGGTAAGCCTCCTCTTATGTATACCAATCCCGTCCGCACACGTTTGGCAACCGACGGCAAGAAACAGGTGTGCGACACACCCGCATCCGACCGTTCTTATGGTACATGGCTTGGACGCCCCCTGTACTGAACTACAGAACGAATCCATGTACATGTACAAGCAGTGTAGCCAGCGCCGGGGGTGAAACAACAAGAGCGGTTGATGCTCTTGGTAAGAATGCCTCAGACCGCTGTTGGAAATACATACGAAGGCGAACAGACAACTACCATGTCCCGACATAAAAATACGTACAGGCTAAAGAGCTGTTGGCTGCCGAAACATGGATTGGTTCCCTGGAGAAGGGTACCTTGCCGTTAGCGATGAACAGCAGCAGTTGCAAAATGAGAACCCTTCGTAAAATAAACCGTGGTACTTCACAACGTTTTTGAACATTTGAACATTTGAACACTTCGACAGATCAAACCTCGCAGAAGGGTTCCGTTGTCAACCACCATATTCCCCTTGCAAACCCCCGATCGCCAAGAAACCTCGCACTCACCTTGTCGTCGAGAAGCTTTACCCATCTGTACATCTGTACCAGCTGCGTGGGGTAGCACGAGGGCCCTTTATCACCCAACCTCAGTAACATATAGGATTTAGACTGGAAAATATCAGGAAGAAATAAACGGCGTGGTTCCAATATTTTGAAAAGGGAGTTCAGGAAAATGCATGGCCGTACATATGTGAGAATAGTAAGGGGACAGAATTGCTGTAGCCCCGCATCCATAGGAGCACAACGCGCCGCCTTTGCTCTACGCTGGTTGGTTCGTTAGTACAGTACGCTCAGGAGCTGTTCCCTCGGGTGCAGCTCGGGTAGGCTAGGTGTACTACTACTGCTGAGCTGCTACTGCTGGTTCTGTGCGATCAGTCACAGTGATGGTAGCAGGAGCAGGGAGCAGGTCCCTGCTCTGCTTGCAGAGTATACCCATTGTTGTGGTTTCGTCGCAGCAGCGTCCCTGC